ATAAAATATGTTCTTCACCATATACTAAAAGTATCTTTAGAACTTGTAGTTTTATACATGTCATAACATTCCTATGATCATATTAAGTGCATGATATTATGGGCAAAAAAGATTAGCTAAGAGGATTCAAATTTTGAGTTTGAATTCTAGAAAAGGCAACTTATACTGAATTTTAGATAAATTATTTAGACATATTGTGTGAAAATCTTAACATGAATACAAGTTTTTAACCAAAATTACTGAATTTTATCGAATTCGTATTAGAACTCTTAACTTTAGTCATGTTAATTATTGCAGAAATTGGTGATTAGAAGCAAAAGTGTGGAGTTCATGCCCTTCTTCCTTTCCCTTTTCTCTTTTTTGAATGGTGTTAGTTGGACTGCTTATGCCCTCATTCGTCTCGATGCCTTTATTCTTGTGAGTATTTCGTTCGTTTCAATTTATGTGATATTTTTAAAAAAATAATAATTGTGTGTTAATTTAATTAATCTTTAAAGCTAAATTGAATTAGAATAATTTTTTTTTTTGTTTTTTTGTTTAGGTACCAAATTCTATGGGAACTGCACTTGGACTAGCCCAACTACTGCTTTATGGGATGTATTATAAGTCCACTAAGAGACAGAATGCAGAAAGACAGGCCCAAGTAGAAATGGGCCCAAAAGGAGTGAGTTTGGTTGGATGAAAACAAGTCATTTTCTGTTTTTGATTGTCCCAAAATATTTTCATTTTCTTGAACTTGCTTTCTTGTATTCTACTCGATGTTCGATATTCATTTTATGATCTTGACTCTGGATTTGTGTAAGTGCACAAATAATCTATTAATTTTGGGATCCTTAATCAAGGCATAGCTGAGTATAAATTTTTGTAAGTTTAGTCACTATTGAATGAAATTCAAATATATACCACGTTTGTTGTCAAAATTCGCTTTCCGACTTTATAAATTTTACCTTAATTTTGACATATTGCTTGTACAAACAAACACTAGATATTTTTGTCTAAACTTCAAATAAGAGCAATTGAAGTTTCATTTGTCAAAATTTAACTTCAGAGTTCAGATATACACAATTGAAATTTATATTCACAATGTTTGAAATTCATATATAAAACTAAAGTGTAATTTATTTGAAGTATCAACTATTTGTTGTTGTCTTGTCAACATTTTTTTTTTTGCAATAATTCCTACTTAATTATTTAATTCATTTTAAATTTGAAATTGATCAAAACTCACCTTTACACGCTTTATAAATTTCCATACACCTTTTTGAGTACTAGCATGTTGTGTGTATATAAAGATTTAATCTAATTTATAGATTGTTCATCATATTTTTAAAGATGAATCAAGACCATTGTAAGCATAGTGAGACAGACCAATTAAAAAAGATATATGTAGACTTATAAGTTGCAAATTCAGTCAAAATTCATTAATTCGCTTAATTTGTTCAAGTTTAAATGAGTTGGACATAAGCTACGTTATAAATAAGTTAGGAAAAACTACAGAATATGGCAAACATCAATATATATTTAAGACAAATGGCTACATTTTATTTTATTTATATTTTATGGTTATAAATACACAATTAATAGCAAAGCTAATGATATATAAATAATTTGTTTTTTTTATATAATAAATAAAAATAAATATTAAATAAGATGCTTATTATTACACAATAATTAATTAGTCAGGCATATTTTCATCTTTCTTAAACGGTTGTAATTTGAACAATACAAGACATAGAAATACAATTAGATACAAGTTATACTTGTCAAGCTTTTGAACAAAACAATACATATATACTTGGATAATTACATATACAATTGGATACTTCTAGTGAATAGGTTTCACTGTCAATTGATTATTAGTTTCACTTTGCCACATTAAACGGATGTACATGATACATTAATACTTTGCATTTGATTATTTGTAATTCAATCTAAATATATTATTGCATTCGTATGAATATTAATAGAATTGAATACATATATACTTGTATACTTTATAGTGTACTAATGTGACTAGAAGAAAGAAATTGAGATTTATACTTTTCAAATCTTTTATACTAAACAATTTATATGTACTTGGATATTTACATATACAATTGGAGACCTATAGACTATAGTGCATT